TAACTACTTGTCTACCGTATACGTCTATACTCGCAGCGTCCTGCGTACTGAACTCCAGAATCCAACAGAGGGAAGAAGAAGAAAGGAGGTCCGTGGAAGTAGTAGAACCGGTCGGAGGGTCTGGCCAAGAGCGAGAGCGCCAGAGGCAAGATCTCGTTTGAGACTGCGATCTGTATGATGTCTGGTAATTTTGGGCTGCATCTAGGGGTTATAATCATGAATGGGAACGTGTATCTCTTCGTCCCATGTGTTTCCATCGGTGATACCTTTCATAACACCAAACGTGATTACAGCTCCACGTCGCATGTGCGACATAAAGGGGGTGAAAGGATGCTTGAGCGTTTTGCTTGACATCAGGGGCGAGGGTGATACTCGGCTGATGCGTATATAAGATGAAGCTCATGGTGTGATACCCCAACCTCATTCTTTACTTGTGCAGGCTCACATCGGTTTACCTTCGCTGCTATTACATTCGTTTCTATATACTCCACCGGGACTTGTATCTAATTCGCCAGGGTATCGATATAACGACTCGCCAGCATACGCAATGGTCAGTTATACTAGCGCCCTTACCGCTGTTCTCTTGCTACTCCCCTCTTCTTTTGGTCACCCAACATTGCACTCATACCACAAGCGATTCACGGGCGTCAAACTCCAGTCTGGACGGACTGGTCTTTGTCTCGCTCCACTCGGTAATAGCACCAGCTGGGTCGCCGGGACACAGATCTCCTCCTCGGAGTGTACCGATGAGCATGTGGGAGTCTGGGATGTGAGCTACGGGAGTGGGGTTGTGATTTTGAGCAAGACATCGGGAACCGATCAGCTGTTGGTTTTGGATGGAGGGACAGGGAAAAATGATAACGAGAATCTGAGAGTGAGTGGATGCGGAATCGCACGTGGAGTTGACTGACCTATTGTCGCCAGCTTGATATTTCAAACAACGGAAGCTTTGCCCAGACGTAAGTTATTGTTAACATAGCATTTCACCTGCTCAAGTTCTACTCTAGATGGTACTATACCAACGACAATCGTCTCGCTATCACAAGCGGAAATCAGTGCGTCGATATGGGCGATAGGGGAAATGTGCAGACCTACAACTGTACTTCAGGGAATACCAATCAAGGTATCGTCATTAGTGTACGATAGAGGATAATGGGTCCTGACGTTAGAGCAGTCTGGTGGCTACTTTCCGACGATGGCAATGAGACTTTGAGCCCACCCGGTAGCTCGTCTACGGCTGTATCGGACGCAGCCACTTCTGGTGTTGCAGCATCGTCGAGCAGCGGCGCTGAAGCTGGCTCATCGTCTTCTGCTGGTGCTCTGGCAGCAACGTCTGGAGTTGTGTCATCCACTACTGCAGCGAGCGGCAGCGCTTCCTCGGGTACCGCTGGAAGCGTGTCATCATCCGGAGGTGGTACAGGCGATAGCGACGTAAGCAGCACCGCGAGCGAAGAAAGCTCCTCGAGCGGCTCTTCTCAAGCCTCCAGTACCGGCTCGGGAATGTCATCTGAAGCCACCGGTGATGCTTCGGCAATTAGTGCTGGCGATAAAGCCAGTACTACTCTCGAGAGCGACGCAACTTCGGATAGCAGCGGCGATGCTTCAACGACGCCGATCTCTACAGCTACATCAGCCGCCGCCAAGTCCACATCAGGGGAGGAAGCTGGATCAATGTCCGAAGCAGCCACATCCTCCTCGGCCAAAACCAGCGACAGCACTTCGATCTCGGTGGTCAACGTTTCCGAGGACAAGGGTAGCTCAACATCGTCCACTGCCAAGGAAGACGCTACGTCTACAACGGCTCAAGATGCCGGGCCTACCGTGGGAGCTGATAATGGTGAAGGATTTGTGACATTGACTGTGGGGGGTCAGATCATTGTGATGCAGACCGAGTTTGCCGCTGCGAAAGCGAGTGCTTGAGGGCTGTGCTATCCATCGACGATGCGTATGTCTCTTGTACAAAATATCTTCTCTCTCGAGGTGTATGTATTTCAGCCTGCCTCTTCAATTACCATTGTAATACGACGAGATGCTACTTTATGCTCATGGGAACTTTTCAATTATGACGCTTGTGATACGAGATGGCAAGTTGAGCGCTGTCTTTGACATCATCACCGAGGTCTCCGTTGACCGTGGCTCGTGAGAAGTCTTGGCATTTCTCCTTTGAAGATGTAAGCCGGTACTTGGCAGCTGGGTAAACTCCTTCTCTTGCGAAGAACGGAAGAACGATGCTCCTTTTGCCAGGGCGGCGGTCCAATCACTTCACAGTCCAGCAAAGCTGTTTAAAAATCCGCATATACCTTTATCGTGATAAGAATGATCCGTTCCGGATGACTGTATATATAGCAGCAGCATTACATGAATCCACAGTCGCCCTCAGCTTCATCAATTATCAACACCGGTAAAAGAGATGCCAGCCTCTAAATACACAAATACCGACGACGCCGCCGGCAGCTCAGTCACCACCGGCGGGCGAAGATCGAGCGCTACGAGTCCTACTCGGTCATGGAACAAAGGCGGGCTATCGAGCCAGCATCCTGCTTGGGACCTTGAGAGGTCTATCAGGAAGGAGAGGGAGGAGAGGGCAGCTGCGGCTGCGGCGGCTAAGAAAGAACAGAAACTGCAGCGGAAGCGAGAGGATCAAGAACAAAGTCGAGCGCTCCGGGAAGGGTCGGCGACTGAAGCTGATTATCATGAGGCGATGGATGAATACTGGAGTGACTATGGGGACGAAGAAGGGGGTGGGACTAGTCTGTCTAGACAGTCTAGTACTCGTGGTCCCGAACAAAGAATTCCTCGTAGTGAGGACGAGACTAGGGCGCCAACCTTTGTCGATGACCTGCTCGAGTTTGCTGGTATTCGGAGATCTCGGTCTAATGGTTCTTCCAAGAACACATGATAGGTGGATATATATCTAGAAGCTATGCGCTCAATGAGGCTTTCTAATGATGAATCAGTTGCGTCTTGTTCCAATATCTGACCGAGACTGTGACGTACATATCCCCCTCAAACAACATTAATCATACCCCATGGTACAGCCATCTTGCATTTGCTGACAGCGCTTCAAGACGATAAGACGAGGAAGGCTATCCGACGCAGAAGACTTACTTCTTGGGCACGCCCTCCTTTACGCCCGCCCGCCGTTTCTCATTATCTTCATTCACCAAACAGGATTATCGTATATACAGACTCATTCTCCCTCCTGAGAGGTTACTCATATATGCCGAATGGGGCTATACTGAACTGGAAAATACGAGGAGAAGCAAGAGAGAAGGACAAGAGAGCATGGAGTCACGATTTGCTTCGTTGCTTTCGCCTTTCGCCGCGTCGGAGAACGACATGCTCCCATGATTTGGCCAAGGCTTTGATATGCATGATCTACTCTAGCAGCGTTTTCCGAGTCCCACTATACGCCTATCTTGCATTGGTCAGTCATACGGCGTTTCATGAAGATACGATGAGGAACGTTACGTTATTCGGCGTAGATGTCGACACGTCTTCCTCCCAAGCTCGCCCGCCTTCTCCCCGTAATCTCGCTACTGAAGTACTTTAACATATCGATATGTGAACCCTCTCACCTGGCATGCATACCCACACCCGCGACCCGAGACAAAATAGACCGAAGAATAAAGTCGGAAGGACGAGACAGGGCGCAACTGCATCCTTCGGCGAGGGCGTCAGGTCCAATTGTGTCCCTATGTCGGACATCTTTGTCAAGCCGAGACGATTGATGAGGGGCTACGCGTCAGGGAGGTGGTCAGCTTTCATTGTCAGCTTCACACGGACGAGAGTGGTACAAGTACGCCGCGCGTCGAACGAAGATATGTGGAAGCCGTCGAATGTGGAGTCGGTCGAAGAAGGTGTGAGATGAGGACGAGACGGGAGTTGGATGGCGATGGACCGAGTGGATACGATGATGCTGCCGGTCGATGTGGTTCTGTCAGTACGCTGAACACCCCTCAAGCCTTCAAAACCTCTCTCCCTCGTGCACCCGACGCAGCACCTCCAGAAACGCCAAGTCCACATCTTCCTCTCCATCGCCTCTCCTCTTCGTCGCGATCTTTCGCCCGCCCAACCTCCTGCCTGCTTCGTGTCCTTGTGTCCCAGAAAATGTGTTCGATGGTCGTATGCAATACATCCCTGCCCGCTACCCAACAAAACGAAGGACATCCATCTACTCTTAACGAGCAACGATACCGTCGAATCGCTGCTTGAACCAAGCAACGGTCCTATCAAAGCTGTCAGCTTTCATCCTTCCCCTTGGCCAAAGACAGAAAGAGAGAGAGAGAGAGACTTACTGCTCGGGGCGGACCTTGTGGCTAGAGCCAACCTTGGCAGTAGCGTGCTTCCTCCTGGCAACCCTCATACCGGGTCGGCCCATCACGACGAAAAAGTCCATACCGAAAATACCGATTCCGGGGTCGTACTTGATACCGAGGTCGATGTGCTCCTCGATACCGAAACCGAAGTTGCCGGTCTCGGAGAAGTTCCTATGGGGGTGTTAGTGCAAGCTCCCTTCGTCCGACAACCCCCGCAGAGATGCGCATCCTCGCGCTCCGCGCTCGTCCTCGAGAAGAAAAGACTCACCTCCTCCTGAGCTCGTACTCCTTGACCTTCAACGCACGCTCGAGAACCTCCTCAGCCTTGGGACCTCGGATGGTGACGTGGCAAGCAATCTTTTCGTTCCTCCTGATCTGGAAAGATCGGATGGTGTATCGGGCCTTGGAGGTGACGGGGGTCTGACCGGTAAGCTGCTCGAGGACCTTAGCGGCACGGGTAAGTCGATCACCAGACTCTCCGACGGAGATGTCTATGGAAGTGTGAGTGCAAGTTGGAAAGAGAGGGGGAAGGGGGACGCACTGATGACGAGCTTCTCGATACGGAGCTCCTTCATGGGGTTGACGGCGGCAGTCTTCTCGGCCTAAAGACGAGTCAGTTTAACGTTTCTCCAAAACACCAAATTTGTCCATCTCCCAGCGCCGCGCTTGATCTGCTGCTTTCTCTCTTTCGACGACACACAGTCTCTCCCTCGCCTGATCCCCATCTTCAAAATCTTCCACCACTCCATCTTCGTCCAAGTCCTCTCCATCGTCCCCTTCTCCATTTCTCTCTTCTCATCTATTGGGCGCGGCGCTGGGGGAAAGTGGTAGAGATGGTTGGGGACATACCATTTTGAAGATCTATAGGGGGTGAGTGGATGGGCGTATGGTTGCGCTGGGGGACTCACGTATTACTTGATGTATGGAGACAATTCTTCCATAAACTTGCTGCAAAGCCAAGTGCGCGGCGGGACCCACCGACACTGCACCCGGTGTTTCAGCTCGCGCCCGAAAGTGGCACCAAGCTCACAGCGCGGAAGCAGATTTATCGCCGACTATTTCGACGCCGCGCGGCGCATTAGGAATGTGTTTTGTAATGCGATTAATGCGATTAGCGGGCATCCCCGCGTCGGGTCGCCGAGCATAGAGCAGTTTAGCCGGCAGCTCGCAGCTGGCTCGCAGACACGTTATCTTCAAGTTATCTTAAGTTGTCGTTCTCTTTCTCATCCATACATCGCAGCATGTCCGAAGTAGTCTACAACAACGACACCCGCTACCCCGGCCCTCCCTCACACCCATCTCCCCCTGAAGTCACCGGACTTCCCACGCAAGCAGAGCTCGATGCCTATCCGCGCTTGTTCACCTGGGGCGAGCTCAAGGAGATTATTCGTGCGTGTTTTTGTGGCGATATGACAATTCCTAATATGGAGTAGGGAGTGGGGATCTTGGGCAGCTGATGAGGAATAAGGAGATGCAGTGGAAGTATGATCAGTGGAGTGTTGGTATGAAGGCGCAGTTTGGGTCTACGGGTGCGTGATCTCCTCACCCCGAATCCGTCTCTTCCCGTTATATTGCCATGCTGACGTGATCGTAGAGAAATACCTTACAAACAACCGTCTTCCATTCCCCAAACAGTCCTCCGACTCTATCGGCCTCGCCGCCCACACCGCCCACCTCAACCTCTCTACCCCCTCTGTATCCGGCACTTCCACCCCTCGCTCTGTCGGCTTTGCTTCCCTGGACTCCCGCGGTGAAGAAGAGCCAGAGTATCTAAAGTGGACAGGCGAGCTAGACCCGGAAAAGTACGCCGTATTGCCGAATGACTGGCCGTATTGTGTTCCTTATGGTGTGAGGCATTTCTGTGTTTGGTCCAGGGTACGTCATTTCCCTCTTCCTCTTCCTCCTTTTCCCCTCTACCCCTTTCTTCCTCTCTTAATCTAGGAGCGGAAAGTGGTACTGACAAGTTTCTAGATCCCGATCGGACATCCGCATTTGGTGGACTATGACCCGGAAGCATGGGCGATCATCGAAGATCAAGGTCTCGGCGGGTTTACTGGCGTGGCACCTGTTACTTTTCCCGCCACCCCTCCCGAATTCACTTCCCTCCAAGAACCCCCTTCTTCCACCGCGGATAGTCTCCCTGCTGCTTTAGGCCGCGGAGCCGTCGACGGCGCAGGCGACCGCCTAACTTCCGACTGGTACAACACCGACGTCCTGCACGGTGGGAAAGAGCTCCGCAAATGGGCTGGGGTGAAGTACGAGAGTCGGGGAGGGGAGGAGGTGGGGAGGATGGTTAGGGGGTTGTGGGATGAGAGGGGGTGGGAGTGTTTGTTTTTCGTTAATCCGCCTGTGAGTGTTTCTTTTTCCTATTGTTCTCGTTCTTTCGTCTCTGGCGAACACGGTCCTCTCCCTCTTCGGGACTTTTCCTTTTTCATGGCATTTGTCCTCTCCTCTTTGCACCTTATCGTCGGCTCATGCCTTCTCTTCTCGCCTCTTCTCCTCGCCTCTTCCCCTCACCTCTTCCCCTCTTCTTCCCCTGTCCCCTCTTCCCCTCTTCTCGTCTCCCCTTTTGGTCTACCTCTTACCTCGTCCTTCACCGAGTCTCTTCTCCTGGTCTCTTCCCTCCCCCTCTGCCTCTTCTCGACTCGTCTCCTCGTCTCATCTTGTTTTTTCCAACCTCGTCCCTTCTTCGTTTCTTTTCCTTCTTTCCCTTTTTTTCCTTGCCTCGATGATGTCGACATGAGCTGACGCGCCTACTTTGCAGAGACTCCAATCCGTCCCTGGCTTTTCCCATTTCCACGTGTTTGCGCGGAGAAAGACGCCGGAGGAGATTGATGCTGCTGAGAAAGTTTGGGAGGGGGCGCTATAAGGGAGTTGCTTGGTTGGCTGGGAGAGGGATGTTGAGTGGGGATTGATTGAGGGACTGGGCCCTGGGGCTCGAGGAGGGGAAGTAGGGTCGGGACAAGATGAAGGAGGTGGACGGAGATGGGAGATGGAGGGGCGTTGGTTGGGGTTTGGTATAGATAGTACGACAAAATGTGAGACAGATGATGCGTATGATGCATACTCAAACTTCGTGTCATCTGTTTTGTGCAAGTGATGCACCCTACCCTCTCAAGCGCAGTGCATCGGTCAACGAAGGCTCATGAACAAGAACGATCTTGGAAGGTACAAAAATGAACGTTGTGACATGCAAAGTTATAATGGAGCTTGAGGCAGCGCTTGAGAACACAGCGGCTCGAGAGGTGTGTGACGATACTCCTAGAGAAGAACGAGATGAGGGACACGGACACCAAACAGGTGGTATGGTACATTCTGCAGAAAAGCACATACGCAGCATTTGATATGAATTCACTATACACCCCTCGAATCAAGCAACGAGCTCAGACAATCGAATTCTGCCTCACTTCTTTCAAGGAAGAGTCCTCTCGTGGCCCCTCTAGCATAGCAACCCGGCATACCTCCCCACTGTACGTACTTCAATAGCAATAGCAGAAGGTCATGTAAAGGAAGAAACTCGGTCATCATCCACGCCGGAGCGGCTAGGCAGCGGGGGCTCGACTGTTGGTACTAAACGGCGGCGCAGATGATGCACTGTCTCCTGCTGTCCTATCGCCATCATTCCCAGACACCACTTGGAATGGGCCTTCAGTGTTGTCAGCCAAGATGACTGAAAGAGGGGTGTTGCTTCTTCTATCAACAGCGGAACCGGAAGGGGAGATACGAGCTTGATTCTGGGCCTTTCTCTCTTGTTGCTTCGCATCTTGGCTCTCCCAAGCGGAGTGGCTACCGGAAAGACCGCCTTGGTTCCACTTTCCAGAAGGGGAAGGACTTCCGGGGCTTGTGGGAGGTTGATTGGAGGCATCGATGGAGCCGGCTTGCTTGGAGAATTTGGAGGCTGGCATGTTGGGTCAGAAAAGCGTTTACGCGCGCGGTGTTTTTTGACAGGGGTCCCTCTTTTATCGTGTCTCACACGATAGCGAATTGCCCAGAATCTCCGTAGCATTCCGAGAGACTTCGAGGGCTTCAAGCCGCTTCACAAATTCCTTGCGCTTATCCACTTCCGACTCGTCGCGACTCCTCCCCCGCCGCGACTAGAAAAGGAGGAGTGGGGGAAAGTTGGGTGTTTCTCTGCAGATTGTAAACAAGAAGACGACACATAGATACTGAGCTAAGCTTCAATCCGAACGTTCTGTGCTTGTTCCATGTATAGCGATCAGATCGATGATGTCCGGTCATCACGGCTCTGATCTGCCCCAAAGCGCCGCCGAGGCCAGTGTTTGATCAGACTCGGTCACATCAGCATATCCTAACAGCTTCTCTCATAGTACCCCTTCTGCGATAATTAAAGCACAACAACGGAAGAACGGAAATTCAAATGCTTATTTCGTACGCAGCGCTGTGGTTCGTCTTACGATGTCGGAGGCGACAACGCGCTGCTGTAATTTCAAACGCAGCCGAGTCGCCTTCGATATCGTACGTATATATGTTAATCAGCAAAAGTCATCATCCATATACATTTTCCATATACATTTTCCATCGTCAACTATCAGTTGAACCCCATTAAGCTCTCGAAGCCCGCCATTCCCATTCCTTCCATCACCCGTGCGCTGTCACCTCCATCGGTTACCTGTCCACTCTGCCTCCTGGGTATCGCTTCTCCCCTATCGCCCATCTCTCGGCCGTCTTTCAACTCACTTCCGAGCCCAATCCACGTCTCAAAATCGAGTCCACGGGATCCAAGGTCGAGATTTTCCATGCCCATGGGTTGATTAAACAGCGTTGGACTATCGACCTCCTTGTCGATATTCGTGCGTGGAACGTGATCGACGATGGGATGATGCGCGGTGTCAGGATTGACAAGGACTGGAGAGCCTGGGATAGAGCTCGCTGACATCAACGTCCACAGACTAGGCTTTCGGATCTTGGCGGGGACATAGTAGGGTGATGACGTTTCGGGGGGATCGGGGGAATGCGAAGAGTGGGCAGACGGAGGACGACTGTGCGCAGATGTAACAACCGAGAGCGATGGCCTCGTTGAGGTTACTCTGGAGCTAGAAGGAGATTTTACTGGACTAACGTCAGGTCGATCGGCCTCGGCACGCCCGATCTGGTCGGCTGTCCTCTGTCTTGTCAACTTTGACGGTGAGAACGGCGCGATAGGGCTGACGGCCCTACTGAAAGGGTCATTCGCGATCCCCGGAGCTAGAGGCAGTCTTCCCTCTGTATCGGCAGATACTTGCATAGGCGGAATTTGCTGGCCAAAGGGCGACACTCGCTGGCCGTTGACCCACCTCGGGCCCGTGATTGCTGCCGAAAGTGCATCCGTCAAAGCGAAAGAGGTGGGGCGAGGGCCAGGGGGATATGCAGGGATTGATTGCTGCTGAGGCAGCACCCAAGGTGGCGAAGTCACATTTGCGAGCCCGTTGATGGTAGCCGAAGCATCACCTTGATTGTGTCGATGTGCTGGGGGGTAAGAGTGTTGGGGCACGTACGAATTGCTCGTTTGCTGATTGTTTGTCACAAATTTGGATGCACGGCGCTTGTATGGTCCTCTATTGATGCGTCAATGGAATTCCGAGACTAGAAGAAAGGCTGCACCTTTTGATACCAGTCTTTCTCGGCTTGCGCGCAGAATCGACACAGTCGTTGAGTCCGTATTTCACACATCTCTCGCATGGCCTTGATTCTGTAAGCCTCGGGGAAAGATCTAGATATATTTTAACTCACCGAGTATTCGAGCATTTTTTGCAAGCCTTTTGACAATGCGTGCAGGCGACTCTCACTTGCGCTCTCTTCTTCTTCCCTGTTTCTCCTGATTCATCGACACCTTCGTTCTCCATCTGCTCGTTGCTCGGAAAGATCCCCGACAAATTTGAGCTGGGCATACTGAAGGCTGATCCGGGCTGATAGGTTGAGTTCCCATTATCACTCCCAAGGATCAATGATGGGTGCGTTTGCGAAGGCTGTAGACTGGCGAGATGGTTAGGAGATGACCGGTTCAAGGCCATGTACTGCTGCTCATATGCCGGAGCGGATGGAGTTTGCGTCTGAAATGGAAAATTCTGCGTAAATTAGCTCGATGTCTGACTTTACCGACGTTGACTTACGCGGTTTGTCAAAGGGTGAGGTGACTGAGTATCGCTAGCCGAAGCCGGCAAGCTGAATTCGTTTTGTATGGCGGTTTGGGGCTACGTTGTACATGTCAGCGCCTGATCATCCCTTTCTCTACCAACCAAAACTCACAGCCCTCCACCCAATTCCACCCATATCGGTACTTGCCTGATACCTTCCCAGCAAAGGCGACGAGGGCATCGAGACGGTCCCTCGCTGCTGAATGATTCCCAGCGGAGGTCCTCTAAAGTTATGAGTCTGGCCGGGGCCGTTGAGATGCCACTGATGAAGAGCGGGGGGGTTTCCTTGCATGAGGATGATGTCGGCTGGTGGCGATTAACAAAGCAGGCAGATGTGATTGTTTTTGATGACCTGGACGTCTTGAGATAGGGTCTTGCACGGCACGAGATAATAGCGTGAGCGAGGGACGTCTGGGGATTCGTCTTTTACGGACGGGTAAGCGACAAGAATCAGGTCAATAGAATCGACGAGGTAGAGCTAATAGATGGTTATATGAACCCGTGAAGGATAGCTATGGATCAAATCGGGGAGGAGCGGGGATTTATTTACGAAAAGTGGCCACACAACTCCGCACTGGCCCTTATCCTACTTGTACCCTCCGCGACCACGAGCCTCAGTCTATCGGAATATCAAATCGACCATCCTGTCCTTTGAAGCCCGTCGATTTTGAAAGGGGATGTTGCAGAAAGGAGTGTATGCTAGGCAGTAGACTATGATGTCCACGATTGAGACGTGATAGAGTGTGTTTTGAATAGTATCAAGGATGAGAAATGCTGAGAATGACGTGACTCATACTGTAAGACGGAGTGTAGCATGAACGATTACTCGGAAGACATGACAGCTGACAGCTGCCCAATCCCTAATGCCGCTTGTCGTTGCCCTTCACACAACGCACCCCATGGCGCCTAAGCAAGAGTATCGTAAGAGAGTGGGCCGGTTAATCACTAGCAATATGAGACGGATGATGTTGAGTTTGTCTTCCTCCCTTCGTACGACTACCTGTACACAACAACTACCGGTACTCTTGCGAGTATATCGATAAAAAAAGCTCACAGATTGCAGTGGAATGACAATGTCAAAATCAGAGATTCGGCGCGTAACATATCAGTACTGTCTCTCGAGGTGGTTCGATTGTCAGCGCTTAGTGATAGAGCAGAGAGCAGCCGTTGATGAGTTTTCTCCCTGGCGTTTTCGGCCTCATCAGTGGTGCTTCCTTTTTCAAACAACAATTGAAAGAGGGTCGTTTAAGATATCTTCTCTTTCTCAAACTCTCACCTCTCGCTTGCAAGTCTATCTTCCACTGACCACCTGGTGGGATTGTTGGTATTTTATATGTTGAATTGGTGGGGACATTGACACAATCGGGCCGGCGTACCTATCATAGATCGATCATCATGTGTGATGATCATAACGTGGACTGCCGAGTATCACTCGATGATGGCCATACTCATCATGTACGGAAATGCGACGGCCGCGCTTATCTACAGCTATTGCAGATCCTTTTATGCAGCCGTATAAGCGTAGCCTCGATAGATGGACGTGTCTTCTGCAGAGAAGCCAAAGTCGAGGACATCAAGGGAAGGGAAAGAGTCGCCCGATGTATAAAAAGCACCTCGATGAAGCGACATACGCTGTATTCTGCCTTACCTCCTGATCATTGAACTTCGGAGACAGTAACCGGTAGCTCTACGACTATGACTTGGGACATCGTTTACCTCGACGATAAGCGCTATCCTGGACCCGTGATATACCAGCCGGATGTGCTTGATACTGGGCTTCCGACATGCCAAGAGCTGGAGGCCTATCCGCCGCTATTCACTTGGGGGGAGGTGAAAGAGATCGTTCGTCAGTAGATTTCTTAGCTCAAAGTACGATCCTCGTGAGCGTATGTGAACTGATGGTTATCGGGACAGAAAGCGGTGACTTTGCGCCGTTCAGGAGAAATTGCGAGATCGAGGGCAGGTATAGAAGATGGATTGCGAAGATAAGAGAAGAGTACGGATCGACGGGTAAGTGCACGTTCATCCGAACGACGTTTGAAAGGAAGCGATCGACAAAGCTGAGTGGCCTCTTGACAGAACACTTTCTGAGCAAATATAGTCTACCATGGGGGCCGGAAGAAGCATACGCACCTCTCTCGACGTCGAAAGGGCAGATTGCTATATTAGACCATGGTGAGTGCTGTCAACTCGCGAGCAACGTCATCATCAAGTCCCAAGCTCATTCACATCGAAGTAGCTTTGTCCTTGCCCGCTCTGGCCGAGCCTCTACATTGTACGATAACAGTTAAGCAGCCTGACACTTCCCCACTCTACCTCAAATGGAGAGAATTGACCTACGGTCGAAATACATTGTGGGCGATCTTGAGAAACGGATGGCCTTATTCGTTACCCCGTGATGTTCGGCATTTCTGCGTATGGGTACGGGTAAGTACTCGATACTCAATACGTTGGTGGAGTGTCAGCTGACCTTTAGATGATAGATACCCATTATTGATCCCAGGCTAGTGGATAATGACCCGGCCAAATGGAAGAAAATCCAGGAGCAAGGCCTTGGCGGCTTCACCGGGATCATCCCCCGTAGTGATCGCTATCGTATCGAAGACGGTATCAAAGACAACGTCGGCCTACATCCGCATAATAAGGGAGAGTGGCAGTACTTGGATCGAATACAAGGCCATTCCGAGATGAAGAGATGGTATGGGGTGGGACATGAAGCCGAGGGGGGGCATGAGATTGGGGCTATGGTGAGATCGTTGTGGGATGAGAGAGGGTGGGAATGCGTTTGGTTTGTGAATCCTCCGGTGAGATCGGTACGCTTCGTGTTGAGAGAGGAGTGACTAAGCATGTTGTAGGCGCTGCAGTCGATGCCCGGTCTATCGCATTTCCATGTCATGGCCCGGCGTAAAACGCCGGAGGAGATTAACGCATCGGAGGAGATCTGGGCATGATTGATCTCCGTTTACGATCTGTAGGCTTGTATGTGTGGGGTCCATACTGCGAGTTACCGGTTATGGCGTAGAATGAACCCAGTTTGGACGACGTACTGTACTTATCAATGATGAATACCGATTTCTTCGCCTCCTCCTCTCACGACGTTACGATATCTTTTCAGTTGATAGCGATATAGCCGAAGCTCCACATGTCGAAAAAGAGCCTTGTGAGGCAGCCGCCATGCGCTAACCATCTTTTAAAACGTATCTGGAAAGACGAAATGACTCATTATCACTGTCCCGAACGCCAAACGGGATCGGATTGTCGAAGAGGGCGTGATGATATTCGAGTACGACTTGTCTCTGCATCTTCCACGATGTCGTGTGTAGGGGGTATCAAAACGGGGTAAGGGCTGTACACGGAAATCTCCTTCCGACGCACAGCGGGATGGGATCATCGAAGAATGCTTTATCATAATACTAGTTTCTGTAGCGATAACGATGTCGTCTCTTTGACATGTCGAAACGCGGAATGAGCGGTGCATCCACTATGCTGTCTACTACCTCCGCGTGCTCTACATAAGCGCTGGGAGTTGTTGTGAGATCAACGAACCATCTCTGTCGAACGCAAAAACGGAGCGGGGGGGAGGATCATTGGTGATCACACCATCATCAGGCTACTTGCCTACTCGTACTGTACTGTACTGCATAAGATACTGTTCGCTTGGGCTATCCAATCAAAAACTTGTGTATGCTGCATGGTGTTCATCTCCTCCACACATCAGTACGATACATCGGTTATCGATGAAGCGTGGAAGAAGCACGGGTCAAAGCAAAACTGATCAGGAGGCCTGAAAACGAAGGCGCAGTCGTACGACCTTTCCGTGCATTGGGGGGGTAAGTACGCTTAAACATACGGGCCACAGGGTTAGCATACTAACGCCATATATTCTGCAAAAGCGTTGTGAATCGTGGGGAGATCAACCACCCATCTCTGTCGAACGCACCAACGAGAGGTGGGGGGTGGGGAAGGGGTCATCGAAGATCGCGTAATCATCAGACTACTTGCCTCTTGTGCGTAGGATCCAGTTAGCTTGTGCTTTTGAGACATCAACGTGTGAGCCCTGTGGTCCATAGCTCCCACCCATGGGTGAGATGCATCAGTCATTGATGGAGCGTAAAAGAAGGATTGGTTGAAGCGACATGATAACGGCCTGTCACTTGTCATCAACGCAGCCTGTATGCTGAGGCAACTCAACACCAATGAAAGGGGGGCTAAGTCATCCTAAGCGCTTTGTATCACCTTTGAAAACTAACTATGCCTCCTCACATGAGCTCTTAAAGGAGTAGTTTCGACATTCCTTTTGGCCTTTGTCGACGGATGCGCCCATATAAACAAGAGCTGTCGTGTTCAGGAGCCGAGTATATTCGTCCGCTATTGAATTACAAATAGAATCAGTATGATCGACATCGTATACGAACAAGACAAGCGCTACCCCGGCCCCGACGTCGCCTCGCCCAAGGCAGGGGAAATCTTGACGCAAGAGCAGCTCGATGCCATGAACCCGTTGTACTCTTGGGCAGATGTCAAGGAGTTTGCCCGTGAGTTGAAGCTACTCGGCGTCATCTATCAGTCGAATTGACTAACGCGTATAAGGGGCGGGGAGGCTGGACAAATTGGGACGTACTGGCAAAGTACAATACACGTATGAACAATGGAAAGCGCATGTCAAACAGGAGCATGGTACATTGGGTCAGTCATGCCGTATGCCGCGTGGGCTGGTTTTTTGCTCACTGATAGGGCAGAAAAGTACCTCAGAATCAACAATCTGCCATGGGGGGAAGAGCCCGATGACGCGGATGCTGCTGTCCAGAAACAGCACTCTGTAGATGGTGTCGACGGTGAGATACGCATTGCAGACTATACTGGTATCTAAATGACACTATTACAGCATATCTCCGGTGGGACAAGATGAAAGACGGCAAGAACAAGACCTGGGCCGTCCTTCGTAATCAAATGCCATACGCCGTTCCTCGGGACGTCCGACATTTTGTCGTTTGGGTCAGGGTACGCATTTACCAGTCTTCGATATACGACTTGCTAACCGGTGTGATAGGTACCAATCTACAGCCCCAAGCTCGTACATGATGATAAAGACAAGTGGGAAAAGATCCAAAACGAAGGCCTCGGGGGCTTCACCGGCATCATCCCCCCCGCGGACGACTGCTCAAACCTCATCCTCCCCTCCGGCCCGCCTCCGATCTCCCAAGACTTCTTCGCCTCCCTCTCCCCCTCCACCGGCGACTGGCACCACCACGACCAACTCCGCGGCGGTACCGACATACAAAAATGGTATGGGGTGCGGTACGAAGCGGAGGGGGGGCATGAGGTTGGGAGTATGGTTAGGGCGTTGTGGGATGAGAGGGGGTGGGAATGTGTTTGGGTTGCGAATCCTGCGGTGAGTACAAAGTCTTATGCGTAAGGAGCTGGCTGGAGGAAGCTGATGATGTTGTGTAGAGGATACAATCGATCCCGGGATTAGCTCACTTTCATGTGTTTGCGCGACGAAAGGCGCCGGACGAGATTGATGCTTCCGAGGCGGTTTGGGGTACTGATTGAATATAGTCTATCATATCGTGTAGCAGTATGATCGTGTTTTCCGTATTTACAAACGTACATGTCTTTTCCATGCACAGAACGGACGTAAGACTGCGCCTGGCAAACGTTCACCAAGCAGCATGGCGGAGATGTCCGCTGAAATCAAACGCGTCGCGTCGTTACTCCAGGCCTTGCTGTCTTTGATGGCCCTCGCTCGGACCGTCCATCTCCTTCCATCATGTCTTTCCCCTCATCTCCCCCCCCATTTACTCTCTCATCCACTCTCCAGCCAGCCATCTCGCTCCACTCCAGCTCGCCATCCACCATGTCCCACGACCTCCCTCCTCTCCACGACCCCACCTCTCCACCCCTCAGCAACAGCCCCCGCTCGTCCACCTCCCCCTTCTTCCCCAGCCCCGAGCCTACTGCGACACCAACCAGCAACCGCCTCAAGCGACTATCACTAGTGGCGAGACCGACTTCGCTCGACCTGGACCGGGAGCCAGGCTCGGCGAGGAGCGCGAGGTCGCCGGCGCCGTCGACGCCTGATGGAGGGGTGAGGAGGCCTAGGAGCGCTATCATTGGGCGGTCGAATATCGCATACTCGCCTGCTGTGTCGCGCAGTATCTCGAGGGTCGGCACATCGCAGAGAGAGATAGGGGGGAGGGACAGTTTGGAGGGCCGAGTGGGGAATGGCGGGCGGGGTAGCGAAGAGAGTGGGCATAGAGGTTCTGAAGAAGGGGATACGGTGGACGATCCGCAAACCTTTATGGACAGGTGAGCTGTTCTTGTAACTCTTCTCTTCGCACTGCTGATTGTAGCGCAGACATGCCGACCTCCTTCGTCAAATAGCAGAGAAAGAGCGCAAAGTCAACGAGCTCAAGCAAGGTATGTTCTCTTCTCGGAGCTTGAAGCAATTACTGACTTTGTTCATAGATCTGCATCAACAAGAAACATCCCTCCACCAACTTAAATCCCGCTGGATCACCCTCGTCTCCCGCGCCGCCCGATCCCCCTCTTCCGAGCCGACCCCTGAACTCACATCCACCTCAAACTCCCTCTCCTCATCCTCCACATCCTCCTCCCTCTTCCCCATCGAGGAAACCGCCCTCACCACCCTCACCCGCACGGCAGAGCAGAGTGTAGGCATAGAGAAGGCGTTGTCGGGGATGATCAATCAGGCGGAAGAGTACCTCAGTCCGGAGGTGTTGGAGGGGGGAAAGAAGTTTTTGGGGAATTTGTGGAGGACGGTGGGGGCTGCTGCGAATGGGAAGACGCCTGAGGGGGAGGAGAATATGAGCCTGGGGGAGCCTACGCGTGTGGAGGGGGTAGAGGTGGAGAAGAAGAGGAAAGAGGGGGGGTGGGCGCCGTTTGGGTCGAGCTTTGATTTGTGAGTCATCTTGTTCCCCCTTCTCCCTCTGCCTTGTGCTTGGTGTAGTATGGAGGCTGATGACTGCATAGGTCTGGACTGCAAAGTATAATCACTCCATGGGACGGATCATCCTCGAGACATCCCCTCTCTTCGGCACCTCGACAACGCACTTCAGAACCTCGAACCCCTAATCCTGCACCTTCGCCGTCTTCTCCTCTTATCGATTTCTGAGTCTGGCCTTGCGTCCGCACCTGAGAGAGGGTAGTCTGAGGAGAAGTGTACGGGCGGGGCGAGATGTGGTGGCATAGCTGGAAAGGGGAAGTAGCGGAGCCTGCTGTGCATTGGTGAGATGGAGGACAACCGTTATAGAGTTGCACGCGTTGGATATGTTGTATGATCCCTTTTCTTGCTTGCTTGATGACCTTTTACGATGTATAGAGCTGTGCAGTACGCCTCAGTAAGATATTAGTGAGATCAGGCTACGGGCATGTTGTATTCTGGAGTTCAGTATGCAGGAAGCTGCGAGGGTGAAGAGGGTTACATAGATCTTGTAAAGCTCATCAGTGCTATGTACTTAGGCTGTACGTAAGACGATGTCGATATGAGGGAAAAAGACAGGACGGCCATACTCGCCAAGTCTCAAAAAACCCTCTCGCCTCTATCTACTCCTCCTCCTCTCCCTACATCCACA